TCAATGCCCCTGAATCAATATTAAGTTATTTCTTTAATTATTTTTTTCTTATTAAAATTCTCATTAAAATAATTTTTTTAAATTTTTTTGACATAATTTTTTTTGTTAATAAGTTTGCTTTTTTAATATATGAATTTTAGAATAAAATTTTAGAACATCAATGTTTTATTTCTGAAAATATATTATTATAATTTATGTAATAAATTATTTTTATATTTTTAAATGACTCGTTTTATTTTTTAATAGAGAGAGAGAGATATAGAAGTATGTTTTAGATAGTTTGACTCGATTTTTTTTAAATAATACTGAGTTAAAAAAAATTCATAAATTTTATTTGCATTTTTATATATATTTATTTAGAATTTATCATAATTAATTTTGTTGTAGTTTTTATTTTAATATATTGACTTCAATATATTTCTATAGTTTATGTGAATTTTTTTTGTATATTTTTAGGTGAGTTTTTTTTATATATATATTATTAGTTTTGTTAAAAATTAACTATATATAGATTTGATTTATATTAATCACTAAAAATAAAACTTTCTACTCGCATTACATCATACGAATCATTAACCCAACGTGTATAGTGATTGTACGCACAGCCGTAACGTGGTTATTCAACTAGTAAAATAAACTAAAAGAACTAAGTTATTTGAATAATGTTACTGTTCCTTTGCTGCACCTCAGTTCTTTTTGGTTGTTTTTTTTTTTTTTTTCGAAAGAAGCCGGGCCTGACGCAGTTTTGAGTTATAATTGATCCATGGTGCGTGCAAGGAAACAGGTGGCTCAATGACATCGGGGCACAATTATTATTGTTGTTGTTGTTATTATTATTACCTAACAAAGCAATTTAAATCAAATTATTGATTACAAATAGATGCATACAAAGAAAAAGTAGAACCAATTACACATGGACAAAAAAAACGAGTAAATTATAAATTAGTCCCTCTAATTCCTCTCGTTTCGAAAACTAATTATTTAATTTTTTTAATTAGTTTTTATTATAACTGATTTAATTTAATTTTATTAATAAAATATCTTTTTTCATCAATTTTTTCATATTTTTATTAATTATTTATTTCTTAAAACAAAAAATTAAAATAAATTAAAAATAATTAAAAAGATTAAATAATTAATTTTTGAAACTACAAAATTAAAAGATTTGTTTCTTAATCTAATTTTAAATAATAAATTTCTATTTTAATTTCTTTTAATTTAGTAGCCTATCATAAAATTAAAAAAACTACTCATGTTGTTCTTTCTTATGTTATTGTTTTTTTTCCCTTTATATATATATATATATATATATATATTTATAATCATGAAATTACTTGTGAAAAATATAAAAAATAAATAGTAATTTTTTTTTTAGTTTTATGTAGAGTTTGAAGATGATATAATATGTATAATATTTTTAAAAATTTCAGTTTGAATATATATATCCGATTGTATTACCCTTATTATTTAAAATTTATTTCTTCAATTATTTGGTTCTTATTAAAATTCTATCAAATTAATTTTTTGAAATAATTTTATTTCTTAATGAAATTATTTTTTTAATATATGAATTTTTAAATAAAATTTTAAAATGTCAGTTTTTTATTTTTAAAATTTATTATTAAAATTTATAAATTGTGATTATATATAGTTTTGTTAGAAATTAACTATATATCTACACACATAATACTAATTATTTGTTATTTAGTTTTTAATATTCTATTAACAAAATAAATAAAATAAGTTAGATAATGTTTTGAAAGAACCTCTCAATTATTAAAATAAAATTTTTTATGCTAATATTATTAAATATTTTGTTAATAATTATATATAAATCAAATAATTTTGCTTAATATAAAGATTCGATTTACATTAATCACTAGAAATAAAATTTTTATTTGCACTATACCATGTGAATCATTAACCTTACGTATGTAACGGTTGTTTTATGATAGCATAGCGTGGGTATTTGACTAATAAAAAAGTAAAAAAATTAGGGTGTTTGAATAGTAAATGAACAACACCCCGGTTCTTTTGTTTTCTTTTGTTCTTTTTTGTTTTTTTTTTTTCTATCGGGTTGACTAACAGCCAAGGCCCGGCTCTTGGGCATGCATGTGTCGGGCCTTGGTCGCTTAGCCTCGGTCTATTTTTTGTTCTTTATATATCCAAGCCTTGGTCGCCTGACTCGGCCTTCGTTTTTTTTCCTTTTATATATATAGGGTTTATGATTGACAAACATATCTTTAAGTTTTAATGGCCACTTTGAAATATTTTTAATGTTTGATTTTATTGCAAATTTATAATGACTCGATAATTTTTTGATATAATTTTATTTGTTAATAAATTTAATTTTTTAACATATGAATTTTGGAATAAAATTTTAGAAGGTCAATGTTTTATTTTTTTAAATGTTTTATTATACTTTATACAAAAAATTATTTTTATATTTTTAATGATTGTTTTATTTTTTAATATATATAGTTTTGTTAGAAGTTAACTATATATAGATTTGATTTATATTAATCACAAAAAATAAAACTTCATAGTGGCATCACACCATACGAATTGTTAACCCTACGTATATAACGGTTATCTACCCACGGCGTAGCGTGAGTATCCAACTAGTTCTTACTACACAAACAGGAACAATAAACTTTAAAATAATTTAAAATAACAATATTAAATAAGAGTACATTATAAATCAATCGTTCTATTTTTTTAGAAATGAATTAATTAGTCATTTTTGTTTCAAAAACTAATTATTTAATTCCTTAATTAGTGTTGTACACCCACAATTTTATATTACTTTATTTTTTAAAAATGTAATATTTTTTCATTAATCCTTCCATAATTTTATTGTTTTCTTAAAAAAATCAAAGTATATTGAAAAAGAAAAAAAGATTAAATTACAAGAAAATCTAAAAACATAGGAACTAGATAATTAGTTTTTAAAACAAGAGAGATTAATAATTCGTTTCTCAAACCTATAAGGACTAATTTATAATTTACTCAAATAAATAATAAAGAGAATATGTAACATGCAAAATGGAAAGTATTTTCTTAAATTTGTAAGAAGGAAACACGTTCTCCTCTCAAAGCCTGATATTTCCTTTAACAGGAAATCAATTTCCACCGACTTCCTTCCTAAACAGTCGGAAAGTATGGAAACAAACAAAGCAGGGCCTAGTTTTGTAATCAACCCGTTCTATCGTGACTTGCCGCAGCCAGAAGGAGCATTACGATATTTCGTACTAAATTCAATTGGGCCGATTTGGCCAAACTAACTGTGCCCAAGCACCCTTACCTGGCCTAGTAGGATAGCCCAGAGAAAAATGTAAAGATTTTTGAAATAATTAAAGCCAAAAACGAGGGGCGTGTCAGGTAGGTCATCCGTCATCCAGTTCCATGAGTAGGGAAAGTACGTGGAGGCTTTTCATTTGGACACGCCACTGCCCTTCGGATTCTTTTATTTGAGAGATCCTACTATAGATAAGCACAAATTATTTTTATTCTCTAATATATAATTAGAGAATCTTCCATTTTTTTTTTGCTCTTATCCTGTTTGTTTGTGAGTATCTTCAATTACTCACATTAATTAAAAATCTTTTATTTATGACCCCAATTTATACGGTTATACGTTTTTGTATGCGTGGAATGATCATAATGACAAAGATAAGGATAAAAAAAAAGGAGAATTTATCGTGCTCTTTTTATTATAATAATGTAATATTCTAAGAAATTACAAAATAAAATCAATATTTGATCATTTTCTCGGAAAATTTTATAATACACAAAGAAGTAACTCAGTGGCATGTACATTAGTTATTCCTGGATTCACTTTGAGGAGAGAGATAGACATATAAAAAGAAGAGAAATTACATCCATACTCATAAAAAATGATAAGAAAATTTCCACATCCGCTCCAATTTTTTTATTTTTTCTCTTTTTTTGCGTGTCTATCTCTCTCTTCAAAGTAGACTTAAGGAGTAACTACCGTAAATACTATTAATTACTCATTGTGTATTAGATTCTTTACTTGTTCAGCAATTCATTTTTTTGCTGGGAGTCTTAATTGCCCAATTTTTATTTCTTCAATGAAATTTTTTTTTAATGTCATATTCTTTTTTATATATAAATAAAATCAATATTCATCTTCTTTATGACACTGGAATTTGTCGGTCCAATTTTTATAAGCTTGTTTGTATGGCAGGCAAAGAGGATTTGGTTCATGTGATCTTAGGGCATATATAAACAGCTTTGTTATTCTGTTTTCAATATCTCCTCCAACCTGTAATTCATGGCTGAATATCAATGTAAACAAATTTTTAATTCTAAAATTTCTACCTTTCCAAACAAAGATCGAAAGGGCACAATTTTGAAGAACAATTCTTCACATTTTTTATCAAGTTTACAACTTGCTGGGAGATTTAGTTCAAGACAACATATTTTCTAGGGATAATAAAAAATAAAAAAACACAATATTTAAGAACAACCTTCACATTTTAACAATTATTACTTTTAAGTATTTATTTTCTGTCCTATTGTAGAAACCATAATTTGTAGGGTTTTTTTTTTTTTTAAATAATACCATAATCTATAGCTTTCGTTTCTCAATCATGTGATGATCAGAGAAATAGGAAAAAAAGAAAAGAGAACACACACCGCAATCTCCCCTCAATTTTTAGTCTCCCAAAAAACCAAAAATTTTAAATAAAAAAAGAAATATTTTAAAAATTCACCCACACAAAAAGGGAAAGGAAAAGAAAATAAAAAAGAAAGGGTTTGGAGTGCTAAAGGCAAGAGTGGGAGCTTAAATTTTCTTTCCGTGTTTGTTCTTCCTGTTCTTCGAGTCGGCCCTTCAAACCCCAGTCGCCGCGTATAAAACAAAGAGAAACCCAGACAAGAAAACAGCGTCGTCTTTCTCTTTTCAGATCTGAGAGTGAGAGAGAGAGAGGCAGATACTGTCTCCGTGCGTGCGTGTTTTGAGAGAGAGAGAAAGAATGAGCGGCAGAGGAGGAGGAGGAGTAAATAACAATAATGGAAAGGGTAATACTGGAATATCAGGGATACCAGCAGCGTCAAGGAAGATGGTACAAAGCTTGAAGGAGATTGTTAACTGTCCGGAACCTGAGATCTATGCTATGCTTAAAGAGTGTAACATGGATCCTAACGAGGCTGTTAATCGCCTCCTCTCTCAAGGTTTATTTTTTGTTTCTCACTAAATTGTCTCTATGCTCTTGTTTAAGTATTTTTGGTTTCACTGGAGTTTGGGGATTAGGTTCTTTTTTATTACTGGACTGAAAGTTATTTTATTGCTTGGGTTTTTTAATTTGATTCTGATAAATCTAATTTTTGAATTTCAAGTTGTTTGCTTTTCGGCATTCGAGACTTTTGAAATTAGGGTTTTTTATCATGGACTGAAAATATTGCTTTTTTGGGTAATTGAACTGTGTGGTGAGGTATAGTTCCTTGTCTTAGTCTTATTGTTTCAATGAAATTGTTTGATTATGCTGCTTGGACATGATAAGTCGAATTTATTTACAGGAGCTAGTTGATTAAGAAAGTTTTTAACTTTCATGTAGTTCAACTGTATGGTCAGATTTCGGCTTTGATCTTGTTCAAGTATTGTTGTGCTGCAGTTTGTAGTGCATTTTGAAGTCTTCGGTTTTAATGGAATTGCTTGATTCTGTTTCGTAGCTATGAACAATAGAAGTTTTACAGTGAAAGTTTTGGAGGAATATAGTTAAAAGTTCCTACCTTTTCAACAGAACATTACAATTGAGTGTCGTTCTGTTTGTAATCATTGAAAGTTTAGGTTGTTGATTTTGATATGTTGATTATTCGACATTAAGTGACCATCATGAACATGCTAAATTGCTTGCACTTACGCAGAACGTGTGCAAACACTCGCATAATTGTAATTTGAGTGTGTATGTAAGTCTTCTTTTTTATCAGAAAATGAACGTAACATTGATTAACAGCTAATTAGGTCACTGCCACTACTCAGCCATTTTTGTCAATGTCAACTGCGTGATATGAATGGCGATCGTGTTGTTTTCTTGGCTGTTTTTCTTGTTGTGGCTTCATTTTTCTTATGGCGTTAAGCTGTTTTATTGCATGCATATGAGACTTTAGATGTTACATTAATCTTTTTGTTTAGTCTCAATGTCCTGGTTCTTGTCATTACTTTACATTATTATTCTCATCAATGTTTTGCTTTAAAGTTCTATTTATTTATATTGTCTTTTGTGCAATTAGAAAATTATGAAGATTCAAGTCATCTATTGAGTTTTGCATGCATATGATTTTGACTTGAAATTTGTTCATTGTGTAGATCCTTTCCATGAGGTGAAGAGCAAGCGAGAAAAGAAAAAGGAGGTAAAAAAAGATTACAATGTTTATTAGCTTTGTTTGAAATGCTATTGCAGTGATTTTGTTTTGAGTTAAACTGTTGAGTAGAAAATTCCTAATGTTTCATTTTGTTGCCCCAAACTGTAGCTATGTTTTTCCCCCTTTTTTTCCTCATATTCTCACTTGTCTCTGTTGTTGATCCAGAATAAGGATTCTACAGATTCCAGGTCCCGTGGTGCTAATAACATGTCAAATCGTGGTGGTAGAGGCGGTGCAGACCGTTATGGGCGCAGTGGCCCTGGTAGGCCTGCCTATTTCAGCTCTAATGGTATGAGAATGCTGCAATTGAATTTACTACAGTTAATCATTTATTTAGTGTGCAATTGATGCGGACCATAACAAACAACTTTTCTCCAGAATCCAGCACTTTGCACGGCAAACCTGCATACAAGAAGGAAAATGGAGTAAATGCCTATGCTGGTCCCTCTCCTTATGCATCTGATATCATGGGAAACAATATTAGTTGGCAACCTCCATTGCACAGGTAATTCCCCTGTTTAAACCTTAATAGTGACAAATTCTCTGTTTGTTCTGATTTTGTTGCTGAAATGGAAATTAATGCTTTATTTAAGATGTATTAACGGTATACTATAGTTATTTAGTTATTCATGTCTTTGTAGATTGGTATAATAAAACTCTTATGTAGGTTCTAATCGGCTATGTATGTATTTATCATGCATGTAATGATACATCTTTTACTTTAGATCTAGCATTGTAAAACAAAGTTTTCATATCTTAGTGCTCTTAAGAAAAGACTATCATGAGGTTGACTGGCCTGGATGTATGCTTTATTAGTTTTCTAATTTGCATATTAATCTTAGATTGGAATAAACCCGGGTTAAATTAGAACCTTTTACCTACTTGGGGCACGTGGTGACTGCATTATAAACTACAGTAGCATTAGTTTTAAATATATCACTCATCTTTCCTTGAATCCAAACTACAGCATAATGTTGGTTAAATCTGTGAAAGAAAAGATTTTATATCCTGACACAAGTTTTTGATGCACTGATGAAGTAGTCTCATGTGGAATTTGTTAATAGTCTGCTCATTTTTTTAAGTATGTAGGGTTTATTAGATTTCTAAACTAAATATTGGAAGAAGCTTTTAGCTGTTTTTAGAATAAGTACCAGTTGTGAAGAGAATTAGTATTCTGTTGCTGTTATGTTGTATTTGCGCTGTGCTTCGTGCTCCATGCATTATTTTTTTCTTTTCTTTATTTTTCCCTTCCAGCCAACTGGATGTCTTCTTCTCTTGGATTTCAACAAAGAACATTTGTCATAAGCTTGTATTTATTTGTGTAGAATCATTACTTAGCTGCATTAATACATATGCTAATATGGTTTCCAGTGCTAATGTGTATGCAATGTGGACTTTATCGTTTCTCACGTTTTATTTCAATTTCATGCAGCGATTCTGTGGCCACAGAAAATAAAATGTCTACCATAGGTGCTGGTGATGGAGTTTCTTCGTCATCACAGCCTTCTTCTGGGTATCAATCTGCCTGGTTGGGGGTTCCAGGTCAGGTATCAATGGCTGACATTGTAAAAATGGGCAGGCCACAAAATAAGGCATCTGCAATGCCACCTCACCAAAGTGTTAATCATCATCATGCTACAGATCCTCCTTTGGCAGCATCACACAATGATTTTCATTCATCAGAAAATCATGCTTCCAAGGTGGTGGAAATAAATGCAGAACCAGAAATTGCTGCAAACCAGCATGTCGATGAATGGCCATCAATTGAGCAGCCAACAGCTGCCAGCGCATCCTCTATTCGTGAGGTTCCTGCAGATTCTGAGTTGTATGGAGATTTATCTGACTTGCCTTTGGATAGAGTTAGTCACGTCAAGTCCCAGTTAGATGATGTTCAATCAGCAGAGGATGCTCATGTTGAAACTTTTGATGGAAACCATGCTGGACCTGCTTCTGCATCCACAAGAACTATACAGGAGGATGGTTCTGGAGGTTCATCGATTTTTGATAATAATATGTATGGTAACATAAATTCCTACCAGTCTCACAGACATGCTTTTGAGAATAACGAAGGTGAGTTTAATGTTCTAGATTCATCTATTATTTTCCAATTTCATTTGACTATTTCTTTCAAAATTTTTACTTTTTCTCTTATGGTATTTCAATCTATTGAATTTACAACATTGATTCAAGGCCTATTGTAAATGTTGAAGGATCAGTTTAAATTCTTGTGATGATTTTGTCTTTCCCATGTAAATTTCTTGCACCTTGAACTGAACCTTCATATGCAAATTAAGTAAATTCAGTAAGACTTGTCCAGGGAGTTTGAGAGTTATGGTTCAATCGTAATATATATTCATGGTTGGTTGAAGACTTTTAAAGTCCCCGAATGCAACATTCCCACCCCAGCATCCTTGCACCAGAAAAAAAAAAAACAAAAGGAACAATCTTAACACATATGGCTTCATAACAGCAAATGCTGGTACTTTCAGCTTTACTGATTCCAATTTTTCTCATCAGCCCCTTCTCTGTGGGGACTGGCAACATCTTTTTTCTAGACTCTTTGTAATGATCCACTGGGGAATTGATCATTTTGTGGTTTGTCTTTATATGGCACACAACAATGCTTTTCTAAACATGTCCTTTGCCTTGTCTAATGAGCTATTGACAATTTGTCATAATTGATTGCATCTCATGTGATTTCAGCTGAAGATGGTGCTGCATCAGTGGCCGCCAACTTACAGCAGCTAAGTTTGCAGGATGATGACCAGGGAGTGCAGCCTGAAGAGGAGAATCCTTCTGTAATAATTCCAAATCACCTGCAAGTTCATGCTCAAGAATGCTCACACCTAAGCTTTGGGAGTTTTGGATCTGGCCTGAATTCTGCTTTTTCTGGGCAGTATGTATCAATGCCCATGAATAATAGCTTGGAGGAGGCATCTGAAGTTGTAGATGCTTCATCAACCGGACATTCAGACACTAGGTATGCCTTTTTATGTTAATATTTTTTTCCTTTCATGTTTTTTCCCCCCCAATAATAAGTGGAATTTATGCCTTTTTTTTTTTTTTGGGTAGAAATCCTGAATTTTATGCCGATGAGCAGCTCAGAAATACAGTAGATGAAAGTTTAGTACATAGAACTGGTGTGAGTGCTGCAAATTACGATACTCCTTCAGTTCCACAGGTAGAGACTTTGAAGGAGGAGACAACTGAAGCTGCTCAAGGGAATCAATATGCATTCCCTTCATCTACACCTGGTTATAGTTATGAAAACTCTCAACAGTTGAATGCTGCATTTAATAATCCACAGACAAGCACTCAGATGCAGAATATTGCTCCTTTCTCAAGTGTAATGGTAATGTGATGCAATAAACTGCACTTGTCTCCTGAATTTATAGAATTTTTGTTATTTTTGCATGATATATAGAATTTTTTTTTGTCTTTGAGGGTGGTTTGTCTGAAAATATTTATTTTTTTAAAGAGAAAGATTTGGTTTTGTATAAAAGATAAGGATTGTATCAATGGCCCTTGTTTTTCAAAGGCTTTAACTACAAAGAATTTTTTCCTTTTCTATTCATTTTTTGCCTTAGAGATTGGTATATTGGAGAAAAACATGGAAAGAAACTTTAAATTCTTTATGTGATGGCCATGCTAGATAAATTAAAGTGTAGAATGAAAGAGCATATGGATAAATGAAAGTGCAGAATGAAAAGAGCATACGGTGAATTGCCATTGCTTCATCCTCCTTTTTATTATTTATTATTTGTGTAGCTGAGGTTTTGTGTGGAATAATGTGCATGTATTATTTGTATGTTCAAAGTTATGTGTCTCTATATACTTAATTAGTTTTTTTTAACTTACAAGAACCAAACTTAGGAGACAGTACCGCAATATTGATCTGGTTAGCCTTTTTTCCTTGTTATGTTTTTGTTCTACAGCAGGGATATACAAATTCTTTGCCCAACGCTTTGTTGGCTTCAACTGTTCAGACTGGGAGGGAGACTGACCTTCCATACTCACCCTTCCCTGTTACACAATCACTTCCCACAAAATACAGCAATGCAGCTTCTTCTATCGGTGGTCCAGGCATTTCCATGTCTGAGGTATCTTGCTGCCATAGCTTTCTTGAACTAGTTGAAGTTTACCATATTTTCTTCAAGATATATTCATTGATGCAATTAAGAAGTCATTAAACTGTTGATTTATGGAAGATCGTTGTGGTTCCCTCTTCATCTGCAAAGGGAGGACATAAATCTTCAAAAAAAAAAAAAAAAAAAAAAATTCAATTTGTAGAACCAACTGAAAAATATAAGTTGCAGGTTCCCTATTCCATTTTTGGAATCTAGACATGTCCATTTTTGTTATTTTTCATACACTTGCAGGTTCCCTAGTCCATAACCAAGCAGATAAGTTGAGCATTCAGCATGCTTGTTCTGTACACATTTTGGTTAAGATGTAGCATCTCATGGATACAATGAAACTACAATGTATCTTTGTTTCACAAAACGCTTGCTGTCTAGAGATCTCATTTGTTCCCCACTTTTCAACCTTTTCTCTTCCATGATAAAGAATTCATCAATGGTTATGAGCATGTTGCAACAGATTTTTATATTTACATGTTCTCGCTCCTAAGCTGTATAGTAACAGCTATTTGTAACCCATATTAAACAACTCTGTGGGTTTAGCATTCAGCTGATGAGCTTACATATGCCAACTTACCGCTGACCTCATTGTTGTATTTGTACAGTTGGCATCTGTTGTCTTCTGATAGGGCTTAATTCTTTTGACCGAGGACACCACCTGTTTAAAATTGAATGAAGCATGTCTTGTTAAATAGTGGAGACAACCGTACTAGGACAAAAATACTCAAAATCATTCTTCAATCCATACGCTTTACTAATTCAATACTCCACAAAACCAATTATCCTTTTCTTTGTGGTTTTTTTAACATTTCTTGATAGTTGAATATTATATGATTTTGGGGCATATAATGATCGAATTGGCTTTATATTTTGGTGATTTGAGTTGTTAATTGCTGTGATTGTTTTTTCTTTTTTCTTTTATGGTGGGTTTAGAAAGGGAAAAAAGGGAGGGAGGTCACATTAAAGAAATTTACATGATGAGTCTAGTTTCTAACTTGGTTGGAGTCTTATGGTTTGATTGTTTTCTCCTTATTCTGATTCCTGGCTTGTAAACATGATAGGCTTTGAGAGCAGGTGGTGTTTCTACACCTCAGCCAACTCCTCAGACGCATCCTGGTGCCAATGTTGCCACAGGACCTGCTCTTCCACAACATGTTGCTGTGCATCCTTATTCACAACATACCCTTCCTTTGGGACATTTTGCCAACATGATCAGCTATCCTTTCTTGGCTCAGAGCTACACGTATATGCCGTCGGCCTTTCAGCAGACTTTTGCTGGTAATAACACGTATCCTCAGTCGCTGGCAGCAGTGCTTCCACAATACAAGAACAGCGTTTCTGTAAGCAGCTTGCCTCAGTCTGCTGCTGTCCCTTCTGGGTATGGGTTTGGGAGTTCAACCAGCATTCCTGCAGGAAACTTTCCTCTGAATGCACCTACTGCCCCAGCTGGCACAACAATAGGCTATGATGATGTTTTAAGTTCTCAATACAAGGATGCCAACCACTTGATCTCACTTCAGCAGGTAATGCCTCTGCTCTTTACCAAGTATTGACAAACTCTCATGAATGTGAATTACAGTCTGTATTGAATACACATCATCCAAATAGGGACAGGTTTCATGATTGAACTTCCTATTTATATGTCCAGAATCTTGTGTTAGTTTTCATTTTGTAGCTACTGGAAGTTTTGTGGGGAGAGTATTCAATTTACTTGGTGTTTCTTACTCTCTCACATTTATGGGGGGCAATTTCCACATGAATGTGAGGGAAGGGAGCAGTGAAATGGCTGTTGTAGTGAGTAATTTCCTTGATTTCATGTGGATGCCATTGCTTCTTTGTAGCTCAATTAGGTTCTTTTTTGTTTTCCTTTTGTGTCAGAATGAGAATTCAGCCATGTGGATGCATGGGCCTGGTTCGCGAACAATGTCTGCTGTCCCTGGCAGTACATATTACAGCTTCCAGGGGCAGAATCAGCAACCTGGTGGATTCCGTCAAGGTCAGCAACCGTCCCAGCATTTTGGGGCTCTTGGGTACCCAAATTATTATCATTCGCAAACGGGGATGTCATTGGAACATCAGCAGCAAAACACAAGGGATGGTTCCCTGGGTGGGTCTCAAGGCCAACCCTCAAAGCAGGCACAACAGCTATGGCAAAACAGCTACTAAATCTCCTCACCTCCCGGTTTTTCAGGGTCTTGTAGTGGCCATTCAAAGGGTGTTCCCTCCTGCGGTTGAATAATTTGATGTAATGATTTGTTGGAGGTCTAAAGAAGACTTGAGTGGCTACTGCCCTGTGCCATGAGGTTGTATTCTACATAACTTATCAACTTGATCTGGTTAACTTAGGAACACGTGTGCTAATCTGGGTTAGTGGACTATTTTTCCTTTCTTTCTTTGTTCTCCTTTTTCTCGTTATAGTGAAAGTCACCTTTTCAGTTGGACACTTGATTCTGCAGTTTCTAAATCTACTCTGATTACCTGACCGGGTATTTGTAGCGTTGTTACTTGTGTGCTAGTAGTAGTAGCAGCAGCAGAACCAGCAGTGTATGCATTATGCAGAGCTCTCTGTTTCTTTTCTTTTTTAGCTCTAGAAATATCCTACTCTTGCTCCTCATGTTGCAGTCTACTGCTAGATTATCGATCAGTTTGATTCCTTTTTCATGGGATTTGTGAGTATCGTTACTTGAACATTCAGCCTGAATTTGGTATCAATTTTCAAACGCAGAGGATGATGCTGAATTTTTATGAAGAACTAATGGCTTTATTAGTGCTGGGTTATTATTGAATTATCAATTAAAAGAAACTAAAAGAGGTGGGAGGGTTTTTTAACAGTGATTTTTACTGTTCATCTGTTCATAGATTGTAGGTGGGAGTAACATTGTGATTTTTTTTTAGCTGTTTTTGGGTATTTATATTTAAAATTTAAATCATGTCTTATTTTGGTCTCTGAAGTTTTTAAATCAAATTTTAATCCCTTGGGCTGTTTCATAAGGCCTGTGTTCTTTTTTCTTATACTAATATTATTCATTATTTTTTTCTTATATTAATATTATTCATTATTTTGAATAATTGAAATATAATTTTTTTATACTAATATTATTCATTATTTTAAAAATAAATATTTATAAAATAAATGTATATTTTCAATAAAGTATTCTTCTCATTAGTATTAAATAAGAATAAAAAAAAATATTTGTTAATTTTTATTTAAATTTTTGCATTGTTTTATTTGTTTGATACAATATTACAAAAAAATATTAAAATATTTTTTTTGAAAAAATATATTTAGATTATTATGCATTTTTATTTAAGAATAAATGTATAAAAAATAAATTGTATTTTCTTAACTACAAAAATTATTAAAAATAACAGGTAAATAGATATAAAATTTTGATTTAAAATTATAAAATTAAATAAAATTTTATTTTTAATTTAATATTTTTTGTTGACTTATAATATAATATTAAAATGAAATAAATATGTTTAGTTCATAGCATATAAATCGAACAAGGAAGGATTAAAGTGCATAATGTTTGGATGCCACTGGACTCTCTCTCAGTACACTAGTGTACATGTATGAGTAAAATCGAAGGGAAAACCGTCCTCCAACAGATTAAAATCTATTCGAAATTATTATTATTATTATTATTATTATTTAACATAAAGCACGCGATCAAATCCTTTCTCACTAAATCTTATATTGGGGATGTCAATCTATTTTACTATTTAATAATGCTTAAAAAAAAGTTTGCCCATGTTACATCATCGAGTAGCATAAACTAAACTTCCATCTAAAAAATCAGTGTCCGTATCACTATCTTTTATTGGAATCTACATATTCTCCCCATTCCTAATAATTTCTTTCCACGTATTGGGATTTTTTTTTTTTTTGTTTAAAATTTTGAAAACCAACAATAAAAAGTCAAGAAACTACAATACGAAGTTTTAAATTTTTAATATTATTAAAATATTTTTTTTACAACCATAAAAATTATAACTAATAACTACCACAGTCATAACAAAAATCACATATGAAAGCTGTTTCTATAAATCTTCTTGTAATTTTTATTTTTATCTATTTTGGAAAAAGAAAATACCCTTTTTGTAGATGTTTTTTTGGTATAAAACGGGGAAGTATGTCATTAGAAAAATTTATATATATCGTATATTCCTTTTGTGATGATTATTAAGTAAGTGATTAGATTTGGCATCGGAATTTGTAAGAAGCAAAGAAATAGTAAACAGAAGCAGCACCACTGCGACATTTAAGAAGCTGCGTGTCGTTCATAAGATTTTATTCTTTAGGGAGGAGATACGGGAAACAGCGAAAGCAAGCTGATTCACCACCATTCTTCCTTTCCGCACCTTCATCCATACTTCTCCTTCTTCTTCTTCTTCTTCTCTCTCTCTCTCTCTCACTTCTCCAACGTTTTATTTTCTATATATAAACCTTCTCTCTCTCTCTCCAGACAAAATCAAATTTTGGATTCGCTCCTTTTTCCTGCCAAACCATTTACTTTACCTTCTCCCCCTCCGGTATCGTTTTATTCGTCGCTTTTGCTTTCCATTTTCACTATTCTAAATAATTCCAGAATTTTTGTTTGTTACTTGTCAAACTCATTTCTTTCTCTTTTTGTTAAACTAATTATTATTTGATCGATTTTGTTTCATGCATCACTCCCTCCTCCTCCATATATATCATTAATCTAATATGCTTTTAGGTTAACTGATCTCATCACCGTCAAAATTGCGTAATTTTAATTTTTGGTGTGATAAATGTTGAAACATGAACTTGCCCCGGACTAAATTGTGAATTATCTCCATGGACAGCACAAGATAGTTGAGTTGTATTGAAAATTTGGAGCTGAGTTGTGAGTTGTTGAGATGGAACAGAGCATGAGGGAAATGGGTGAAAACGGCTCCGGTTCTCCCGGAAATGGAACGGTGAAATTGGAAAACAACAAAGGTTATAATAGCAGAGATGTTATTCCTGGGAGTGATCTCTGGACAGATGGACTTATTTGTGCCTATGAGTTGGCTCGAAGGCATAGGAAATCGACTCCCCCAAGATCTTCTACTTCCAAGATGTTTAGCAGACAAACAGATGGAACTACCAATGCTTTCTCGCCGAAACAGGAAAGTAGCAATTTATTCGAATCCTCGTCTCTTGCTGAGTCGAGAAGCAACCAGAATGCCCCTTCTGATGGCTACAGAGATAGCCCGATCCACCGTTCAGGACAGCATCATGCTGCTGAAAGATTTGAGGATGTTCATTGGGTGCCCATTGGGTGGGGTAGAATTTCTGAACTTGTCCAAACAGTGCAAATTGATGGTGACTGGCCAACACAGCAAGTGGAGCTGACGGATGATGAATATGGTCTTACCGTTGCAGATTTAGCAGCTCCATATTGGGAGCGTCCAGCCGGCCCTACGTGGTGGTGCCATGTGGCTCCAGGTCACTCCTCTGTCCAGGCTTGGCTCAACAATGCTAAGTGGTTACATCCAGCAATCAGTTTAGCTTTGAGAGATGAAAGTCGACTCATAAGTGAGCGGATGAAACACCTTCTTTATGAGGTAGTGCATAGTTTTTTTTGTATTTGAAATTGCTCTGATGTTATAGCTATTCTTTAAAGTGGCGCTTAAATAGTTGAATTCTTTTTGTGTTTCTTCAGCCAAGGTCCATACTAATATAAGGCTATCCTGTTTGAGCATGTTATGATCCCCATCACCATAACTTTGTGAACATGTGTATATAGAGCAATAAAAACCTACCTGGAGGTTCCAGTTTCAACTCCTCTGTACTGTTGCTTGTGGTTTTCCCTGATAGAAAATGAGTTCATATAAAAGGGCTAGGTAATAGATCTTTCAAATTAAAATCTGAACTGTTAAATAGAATGTCCAAGTGGCAATGCTTTACGCCAAGTGCCTACATCTACAATTTGCTTAGATCGAGGAAACCACTTTAAAAAGTTAAGAACTGGGAGTTTTCCCTTTAGTTGAATAGATACAATCATGCAAATGTAGGATGAGGAAGACATTAAACATACAGCCTATGTCCAAGGGGAAAGGTATTATTGGTCGTCACCTAGGCATATAGTCCGTCATATGTTAAAGTTGCTGAGTTTCATCCTTGGATAATTTCAGCGTTGTGTTGTTTCTTGTTTTGTAAATTCTAATCGAGAATGAATCATGTGTCTATGCAGCGTAAATTTTAGCATAGCATATCTCACTTATTTGGTATATCCATCTAAAGTTGAAGAACGGATCCTAGGCTTAAGGGAAGAAAGTGAAAATTGTTGGGAAAAATAATGACATGACACTCAAGCCCCTATCATAAGTTTACATTTAGTTCAAATCCTTCTTCAATTAAAGAGAGCTTAAAAAATCTCTTTACTTGAATATCTATGAATAGAATCAGATTTCTTCCAAGAAATGTCTCTACATGACAGCTAATCAGAATTTGTAATTTATTATATTTATGAAGTTGAAATAAAATTTGTAAAATCATAATAGAATAAAAAAATTATTTTGAATAGATTCAAAGTTTTTCCGCCATGACATTTTACTTGATTATTTATTAATGGTCGTAGTTTGTGTTTCTATCAAGGTCCCAGTGAGGGTTGCTGGAGGTCTGCTATTTGAGCTCTTGGGACAATCAGCTGGCGATCCATTTGTTGCTGAGGATGACATTCCTGTTGTACTGCGCTCCTGGCAAGCTCAAAACTTTCTTGTCACTGCACTGCACATAAAGGGGCATGTGTCAAGAGTAAATGCTTTGGGTATCACTGAAGTTCAGGTTCGTTCACGACTCAGAATTTGCAAGTGGACTGGAGTAGGAAACAAGTGTTATTAACTAAGCATTTAAGTCACTTGATTATTTATTCATCCCTTTGGTGCTCCAATTTGGCCAGGAGCTTCTTTTTCTTGGAGGCTATAATGCTCCAAGGACAGTGCATGAAGTCATTGCACAACTAGCTAGTCGGATGTCTCGGTGGGATGATAGGTAACGGAAACCAATGAAACTAAACTGTGTTACATATTCTTGGCTTCTTTTGATTTGAAATCATGCTTTGTGCATACGGTTGTTTTACTCTTTTGGGTGACAAATGTACCATCCCAGTTCATTGCACATCCATGCAATATATCCGATCATTCTTCGAACCGCCTGGCTTCTTTTTAGTTGATAGCAAAACTAACCTCCCTTTTGCTTTTTGGATGAAAAATGAAAATGCACAATTAGAACCAAGTATGAAAGTTAGCACTTCAACACAACTGTATCACATCATGGGTTCCTTGCTGTTCCTATTTCCTCCTACGAAACAACTGTCTTCAAATCACTGCTTTCCACATCTCTGTCTCATTTCATCCGTGTCCTGTCCCCCATTGTCTTTAGGAAAATAATTTATTTTGAAAAGGCTGAACGTATATTAGCATATATGAATTATCCTTTTCTTTTTCTAACTTCAAGTTTTTCTTTATTTTTATCTCTTAATTTTTTAGGTTGTTTCGAAAGTCTATATTTGGGGAAGCAGATGAGATTGAGCTGAAGTTTGTGAACAGGTTGAAAAGACACATGCACTTTTCCAAACTTAAATTTGTTACTAATTCATGCATAATTTTTGTTATGATAAATTGCTATGAGCAGGAGAAATTATGAAGATATGAATCTCTTCAGTATTATCTTGAACCAAGAAATCAGAAGGCTGTCAAGACAGGTAGCTCCAGGTGCTGAAACTCTTTTATGCATATACATCCTGATTTTTGTCTCACTCACTTGTATATACACATTCTGCATTTGTGCTTGTTCCATTGTTCAGCCATTTTATGAGTATTTAACAGTTGCATGCTCACTGCTTTGACTAGGAAACCTTGATCTGATTATATGCAGACAATGGAACTTCCATGACCTAGACTTTTTCTTCTTTTTTCTCAGAAACATGACAATTATAAAATCCAGTTGGCACTTTTAAGACCTGGTGGTTCATAAAATTTTCTGCCAGCAAAATCCTCATTGTTTTGAAGTTGGCATATTTTGTATTGTTCTTACTTCTTACTTTCTAAGTGAATGCATATTTGTTCCAATAAGTACCAAAACCAGGGGTTATTCATTTGCAGGTTATCAGAGTGAAATGGTCACTTCATGCAAGAGAGGAGATAGTTTTTGAGCTTCTACATCATTTGAGGGGAAATGCAGCAAGAATGTTGCTAGAGGAAATAAGGAAGAGTACAAGGCAAATGATAGAGGAGCAAGAAGCTGTTCGTGGTCGTTTGTTTACCATTCAAGATGTTATACAAAGCACTGTTCGGGCATGGTTGCAGGTTTGTTTTGGAGGGTGTGTGTGTGTATGTGTTTGTGGGGGATATGATGATATCTTCATTTTAAGGCTGGTCATTGAACATGCCTTCTTCCTAGATTGATTTAAGAAGTTCCTCTTCTTTTTTCTTATGTAGGATCGAAGCCTTCGTGTAACCCATAATTTGGCTGTTTTTGGAGGCTGCGGTCTTGTGCTTTCTATTATTACTGGGTTATTTGGAATCAATGTTGATGGGATCCCTGGAGCATCTGGTACACCATATGCATTTGCTCTATTTACAGGCATCCTCATCTTCATCGGAGCGGTGCTGATTGCTGTTGGCTTGCTTTACCTTGGACTGAAGAAACCAATCACTGAAGAACAGGTTGAAGTAAAAAAATTGGAGCTGCAAGAATTGGTCAAGATGTTCCAGCATGAGGCAGAGACACATGCCCAACTTCGTAAAACTGTGCGTCGTAGTAACTTGCCGCCAACTTCTGGAGATATTTTCTCAGATGATGTGGATTATGTTCTCATCCAATGAAGACATTATGATCATTCAAGGTGATTGTTACAATGACTTCAAGTCATCGGCGACTTAACTTTTTTGTTACGAAAGAGTGATTGAAATGCTTATTTTTATGTAATTCAGTTACAGAAAATAAACCGAATTTGACCGAAGTCATGGAAGAAAAACCCACTAACCCATGCTTCCTAAGAGATCTCGAGCCAATTTCTTTGGTCATGTATAAAAAACATGAGTTTATAGTCACACCTAGGTGGGGCTCTCTTTAATCTCTTCAGTCTGTTACTAGAGGTGGGCGGTTGGTTGCTGTGTTAGCTATTCACAAGGAGTGGTCTTTTCCTTTCCTATCTCGTGCCTGATTAGCCGCTTTGAAGAAAGAAATGGCCAATGCTTTGATGAAATGGTATGCAAATCACATGCCTTGTTGCAGTGTTTTTTTTTTTTTTTTTGGAAGAAGAAAGAAATGGCCAATACAACCTGGCAGATTATCCACATGGTCCTTCAACTTTAGAAGGTTGGTCATATTAACCCCTCAACAATAATATCAACTCAGAAGGGGAATTGAAGTTTACCTCTAAGCTAATTATCCTGATATATACTGGGAATGAACTGTTACGTAAGGCTGGAATCACTCATACTCGAACCTTAGTCAACATCATTGTAGCAAAAGTGGCATGCATTTACTCTACACTGAAAACGTAATGTAAAAGAGGCCCTTTCGCCTAAATTATACTTTCTCTGAAAAGTTTCGATCAAACAGAGGTCTGGCAATATAAACCAAAATAAGATCAAGGCAGTCTAAATGGGAGCTAATCGCAGCCCATTGAGTTGATTACTTTAAGGAGTGACTATCTAGACAAACCGGTGCTTACAAAGTATCTCAAAATATACACAAAAAGAACCCTCTTGTGAAAATGTCTGGTGCAAGTATCATTTGAGAAGGGACCTTGTTAGATGTTCCCTTGCAGTTGCCAGTGCTTGCGAAAATGTCTGCAAAAGAAAGCAGAAAGTTTATACTACATACTGTGGCAACTATTCCCAATTTGTCCAACCATTCCATATTTTTCTGAATTCAACTTTGGAAGAAAGGAAGTAGGCTGAAACTGCAATACCTGCTCAGAAAATCCTTCAGCAACTGTACTATGACTGGCAACCTTCCCCGCAATGATACTTGCATCAGTTTCCAAAATAATACTGCATTACGACATGTAAAAAGTTATTTTTGGGCGATAAGAGACGGCCTCTACAGGAAATGAGTAAATACATAACAAACTTGTTTGAGAACATTTTCTAGATGTAACTAAGGTAACTTAGAATTAAATTGGAGCTTTGGTATTGATGATCCAATTCTTTTTAACAACATTTCTGCAAATTTACTATGACAAGTAATTATCCATGGATCCAATGTTCCACTTTCAGGAGTTCAGCAAGTAAAAAGACACGTTCAAATATGACAGAAAAAAAGAAACAAACTATATATCAGCTAAAGGAAACAATAAACAACTTATTTACATAAAATGAGCACATTGCATACCCGCCATCAATAATTTCGTCAATGCACAACAGGATGAGATCTAGATACTCAAGCGCTTCTCTTTTCTCCACATTGCCTCTAAAACAAGGAATGAATAAATTGGATATCAAATTAAATAATTGAAAGGGTGGCAATTCATGTTGATAGCATTCAAATGTATGTAACAAAGTAAGAAGTGGTATTATTGCAAAAACCTTAGGAGAAGGCCAACTGCATCAAAGAACCCTTGAAGAACTGTGGCTAAGATGACCTCATTCTCTTCTTCACCTCCAGTAACAAAAAAGTGTAGATCTTGAACAAACTTGTAAACAACAATGTTGTTCTCAAGCATTGTTACCTCAACTGTAGACAAAGTCACAAGATGTTAATACACAAGCTGTGAAATCCACAAACTGAGCAGAGCTAACCGGTAGTAATAACCATAATTCATTAGTATGGCAATAAGGAGATGCTGTTCACAACAAGATTCAGTAATCTGCAAACAACTGAACTTTGCAAAACATTTGAATGCATTGCTCCCATTAATGTAATCCGAAGTTATAGGATCAAGAAACTTGATGCCACAGATTCAGTAATCTGCAAAACAACTGAACGTTGCAAAACATTTGAATGCATCGTCCCCAGAAGAAGAAACCTCAACTATGCTCCATCAGTGCCAATGATATGTAGAGTACCAGCAAATTACACATGCTACTATTTTTAACTTTTATTGCCCTAGCGAAATTAAAAACCAAGAAGAGCATAGTATATTACTCTAACATTGATCTAATCGGCAAGAATATGAATGCCATGGGCGATAGCCAACCCCACAGCAGCAGCATAGAAGGCGAACTCATACATAATGAAAAGAATCCTAAGGCATGACCTAAGCGCTTACATACACAAAAAAAGAAAATCCTTAAGAGTAGTTTAAGCAGAAGACAAATAATGGCTAACCTTCTGAGCGTGCATTAGTTTTTTGAGTCTTGTTAAACACAGCTTTCTCAAAAGCTTCTTTGGCACCATTAGTTGGCCAGTCATCACAAAAATACTTGGCAGCCACACGCTTCCCTTCAAGATCCAGTAGAAGGATATTTTTCACACAAGGGCACAGCTCCTACAATCAACATTGCACTTTAAGAAGAAAATTCTCAAACAACCCAGATCCCAAAAAGCATCAATTTAGTTTCTAATTTACTCATAGAGTAATATCATGCCAAAAATATCAAACCCCTAACATGGTGTTCCACTTCTTAGTCAGGCTTCAATACGTAAAACTAAATATAAGAAATACTGGAATCTGAACTGGCATATGCAAAATCAATGATCAAAAACAGCAAAGAAGTTGAGATGTAAATTAAATACATCAAAAACTAAGCACAACCCATGTATGATGCATCTTTAACAAAAAATGAAACCCTAAATTTTCTCTGGTACAAAAAGAAGTAATAGCTAAGACAGAGAGACAAGTAACTGACCATACTGTTGTTTGGCAAAAAAATTTGACAGAAAATCGATCTACCAGTGTGGGCTAATAATAAAATATAGACGTATTTGCTAAAGCCGCCCGCGTTGCGTTTCCTTCTGTGTATTCTTACTTTTGACTCTCCAATATAACAAAAACATATATATATATATATATATATATATATATATATATATATATAAAGAAACAGAAATACTATGAGAATTGAAGAGAAAAATAACTTCACTATAAAAAAATATAAGAGATAACAACTCTAAACAATTCTCACAAAGTCTACAAAATGCTTGTACACCAACTAATGAACAATCAAGCATGTTTATAGGTTTCAAATTTGAGAAGAGAATTGAAAGGGATTATGAATAATCAATTGTATCACCTTTTTAATTTCTCATATTGAATGATGAATTTAATTATATTTAAAATTATGAGTAATGGAGATATAAAAAGTAGATGAATATGAAGATGAATATTCATTATTTCGTAACACTCCCCTTGAATTTCCATTGTACAAAGAACAAGTCTCCTTAAAACCTTACAAGAAAAAAACTCAATGAAAAAAAATCCTAGTGAAGGAAAAAGAGTTCAATATTCCTTATACACATTAATTAATCTCAATTTTGGCATCCCTTATTGAAAACATCATTTGAGATTTCTAAGACGATGTATTCAATCTTGTGAATCATCTTCTCAAAAGTTATGTTAGATAATGCTTTAGCAAATAAATCTACTTGGATTGTCACTTTGATATATTCTTTCTTCGATGGAATTATGCAAGCACTATTATCCTTATATGATATTGTTGGAACTTCTTTTGTTGATAGATAAACCGCATGTTTCTCGGATACGATGGATCGTTGATCTTAGCCAAACACATTCTCGACTTGCCTCATGAATTGATATTTCGCATGATTTGAAGATGTGGCAGCTATAGTTTGCTTCATAGAACGTCAAGATATAGTTGTATCTCCATATGTAAATATATGACTAGTTGTGATCGAGCTTTGTGTGGATCATATAAATAATATGCATTTGCATAACCAATTAATCTTGTCTTTAATTTATTGAAGTAATATAAGCCCATATCAATTATTTTTCGAAGCTAACGTAGCATATATTTAACTTTATTTCAATGTCTCCGTATTGAAACAAAATTATGACTTGCTAATAAATTTATAGAAAAGACTATATCGAGTCGAGTGTTATAGCAAGATATATCAATGCACCAGTGGTAATAAGATATAGTACTTCGAGACCAAGTAGTTCTTCGTTATCTTCTCGAGGTCGAAAATGGTCTTTTTGGATATCAAGTGAATAAACTACCATTAGGCTAGTCAATGAATGATCTTTATATAGAGTCATCGTAGAACTTTTTCTACATAAATTAATTGATGAATAAAAATCTCATTCTCCGAGTGCTCGAACTGTAAGTCGAGATAACATTTTATTTTCTTAATTTATTCACATCAAATTCTCTTTTTTAGATAACTTATAACACTTGGAATCTATTTAGGAGTTTCAATAACATTTAAGTCATCAACATATACAATAAACCCCTTTTCAAATAAAAATATATGAACAAATAGGGTTGTTTTTTTTTTATAACTTTTTTTCAATAAATAATCATTGAAGTGATTACATCATATGCACACATGTCGGTAATAAACATTATATATAAAAATAAAATATAAAAAATATAGTATAAAGTGAATTTCTAAAAACTAAAATAATAAAATAAATACTAAAATAATCCTAATAAAGATCTCTATAATTTAATTAAATTCTTTTCTCGAGAATATGTATTACATGCTTCTAGCATGTTAAGTCCTTCTAGGACTTTCATATTGATATAATTTAAATGAACAAATAAACTATGATCACATTCGGTAAATGCATGAATATGAATGTTTTTCATATATTTTGCTAGGCTAATGAGATAACAAAATATAATTGCATCCATTATAGGAGAATATGTCTCCTCATAGTCAATGTCAGTTCTTTGCGAAAACTCTTATATTAAAAGCTTTGTTTTATATCTTACAATCTTATCTTTTTTATTTTGTTTTCGTGTAAATACATATTTATATCATACTAGCTTAACATCTTCGAGTGTTTTAGCTATGAGTTTAAAAAAACTACTCTTTTGTAGGAAAACATAATTCTGCTTGGATTTATCTTTTCATTTAAGCCAATCATCTTTATGTCAACATTCTTTAATAATTTAGGTTCGGGATCCTTATTTTCATTTAAAATATAAATTACAATATTATATACAAAAATCTTATCAATAGATATTTCTTTTCGGTCCTATTTTCTCCATGTATTGACATAATTTATCAAAATTTCTTGATTTTTCTCAAGCATTTGGACTTCTTATGGAAGTATATTATCGTAAATATCTTAAACGAGTTTTGTGAATATTTTTATCTTGCCCTTTTCTTTTGGAGATTTTTATCTTTAGAACCGATCGATTTTCCACGCTTCGAGCGTGCTTTAGATTCATTAGCTATATCATTAATAGACCGTCCCTCTAGGACATCAATTCCAATAAGAGCATTCTCGGTGAAGACATACATTTTAGTTCCTCTTTTAGTATCCGAGAATGCATATAGCAATTTATTTGTAATACTTTATAAAGGAATTATCTTCCGAACTTCTAGTTCACTTTTTTTTGTACCAAATTGATATAAAGATAGAGTACTCTATGTAATCTCTTTTTTTCAACATTTTCAATTGCTTATTTTGCTTATTCTCTCCCCTAATATTGAAAAAACTATTTCATCAAAATGACGAGTCGATAAATCGAGCCGTAAAAATACCTCTTAGTCATGAGTTAAGAGATTGAATTATCGAAGAGGATTTAAATCCAATATATATTCACAATCTCCTTTAAAGTGCCCATTTTATTTCATTATGAAGGAGTAATACGAATATACATTGCAATGTCAAAAATTCTTAAATAGAAAATATTTGATTCATGACTATAAATTAATTAAAAAGGAGAGAATTTCGATAACTTATAGATTTGATGTGAATAAATGTTGTTGTATGTAAGATTGTATATCCTCGGACATAAACAAGGAGTTTTATTTTTAAATACTGATTTAGCTATTAATCATATCCTTTTGATAAATGCTTTTGCTAAACCTTTCGAGTATGAACATGAGAAATAGGCTATTCAATCTTTATTCTAATAGTAAATCAATAATAATTTAATACTTAAGAAATAAATCCACCAAGCATTATCAAGGTGACTTATTTTAATGGCATAATCTAAACATTATGCTCGAAATCAAATTATTTGCTAACCATCTCGAAAATGTTAGGTTTCGAGTAAATAATAAGCATAAATGTGACTATTTTGTGGATGCATTTATTAAAATCATAAAATATTTAAATGGTCTATGTGGTAGATGAATTGATCCATATATATCATCTTAAATACATTCTAAAATTACTCGGAGATTCAATCTCAATTTTACTTGGTGATGGCTTAATCATTAATTTGCCTTGACAATATGCAGAACATGAAAATTCATTAAATTAAAGAACCTTCTAGCATTTCAATAGATGTCCATATGAATTTTTAATAATTTTTTGTATCATGAAAGACCCAAGATAACAAAACTAATCTTGCCACATAATAAAAGTATTTAAATTAGTAAACTTCTACTTTACTATAGTATTTATTTCAATCATTTCAATATTTGCAATAAAGACTAGAAGAGAAAGCATGTAAATTTTTCAATACATATTTTCTACCCAATATAATGATTATAATATATAAGTACTCACATTTGCTATCTTGATATGATATAAATTTAGATGAATATCTTTAAAACTCACTAAATTTCTATGAGACTTTGAAGAAAATAGTACATCATCTATAATAAATTTATCCTTTCGGATAATAATATATTTGCTCTTATAGAGCCTTTAAATTATGTCATTTCAAGTAATAATATATCAACTCTTCTAGAGCCTTTAAAAATTATCTCTTCAAGTAATAATATATCCATTCTTTTAGAGCTTCAAAAATTTATCTCTTCATGTTATAATATAATCGTTCTTTTAGAGCCTTCAAAATTTATCTTTTTAGATAATAATATAATCGCTCATCTAGAGCTTTCTATTAGATTAATATTATCACATATAATATTAACATAAAATAAATAATCAAATAAATCAATAAATAAAATAAATAAATAAATATATTCCTTATAAACACAAATAAATAAATAAATAGTAAAATAAATTTATAACCATCACTATACGATACAAATCATAAGAAATATAAAATATTTTATTTATAAATAGAAAAACTAACAAGTAATTAATTTTAATTACTATTATTTTGATATATAAAAGTAGCATTCATATTTTACTCTTTATTTTTCAATAAGGCTTGACAAGGCTCAATGAGATGCTTTGGTGTACGACAGTGTACACAATCAATATTCATTCATTCCATATCTATAATATTTATTTTTCAGAATACCGACTTTATCTATTTTCATTCTTTTCTTTTTTTTTTCCTTATAGTTATCCACTTGTGGTGGTGAGATATAATATTATGGTCATCATGATTATAATGATAATTATTATGACATTATAATGATAATTATTTCGACCACGTCCATGACTACGATCACATCTTCTTCCATGCCTAAAATTATTATAAATTTTCACATTCACTTCAAGGAATGAAGTATATCCAATCGGTCAAGATTTGTTTTTTTTCATCACTAGCTTCCCATTTTATTTAGTCGCCATGAATAAGTATGAAATTGATTCAAAATATTTTTTAAACTCTTTTTCTTGATATGTTACTCGCAGGAGCATATTCAAGGCATGAAAAGTAAATGACATTAACTTAGCATCAAGCCCTCATGATCAATAATTCTTGCCTAAAATGTCAAAGGCCACAAAATCAAGTTTTGTGATGGTTGATATCATTAAAATTGTATATAGCAAAGCATAATAATAATATTAGGAAATAAAGATAAAATATAATAATAAAATTTATATTTTCCAAACAATATGTATTAGATCATTAGATTCTATATATATTAAATCATTCAAGTTTTTCAACACACATACTCTAAGTATCATTAAATTTAAAGTAAAGAATAAGTTACATACATACCTCTTGATGATCTAGATAATTTAGATCTTTTGGTAGAGCAATTATGTATAAAATATCTAATGATTGAAATAAATGATTAAGTCTTTTGGTAGATACATACCTCATAGTCTATTGTCTCGATTGATTAGAGCTTTGTGCTGATAATATGTTATAAAAAAATAGAAATAATAGGAGAATTGAAAAGAAAAACGATAAAGAAATGATTTCACTATGAAGAGAATATAAGAGATAACAACTCTAAACAATTCTCATAATCTCTATAAAATACTTGTACATCAACTAATGAACAATCAAACCTATTTATAAGCTTCAAATTTAAGAAGAGAATTGAAAGAGACTATGAATAATCAATTGCATCTCCCTTTTAATTTTTCATATTAAATGATGAATTGAATCATATTTAGAATTATGAGTAGTGAGGATATGAAAAGTAGACGAATATGATGATGGACATTCGTTATTTCATAAAACACACACACACGCACACATATATATGTTGGGTAGAGGAACAAAATATATATGCGACAATATAATATTTATTTTTTATTATAAATTATTAGATATGGACGAGTTAGTACTATCATTTTCAAAAGAAAATAAATACTAATCATGAGTGCGTTTTTTCGGGGAAAATAAGTTCCTAGAACTTATTTTTCCCATTTTCCCATGTTTGTTTGATCATGTTTCAAAGGAACTTATTTTTCAATCAAGAAAAACTAAAAGGCAAGCTTTAAGAAACCGACTTCTCAAAAAAAAAAAAAAAAAAGGGAAAACATTTTCTCACCGAGCTTTAGAGTTGTTGTCCCCTGTTCTCACCCAAACCGAACCGTTTCATTATTGCCCGAAACCGACCCAAGGACGTCTTCGTCACCCAACGCCGTTGCAACAAAGCGAACACCACCGTCGAGCAAACAAAGCCTATAAAAGAACGGTTAGATTCGTTGTGATTTCTTGTAGTAATATTATTTGATTGTTAAGATTTTTATATATCTTCTTCCTAGATCCGATTTATTGTGTAATATTGTCTTATTTGTTTGTTTGTGGGTCTTCTTCCTCGTGGGTACTCCTTAAACTCGTTGCCGAGTTTTAGATTTCTTGTTTGTTACTTCTTTTTGTTACTCTTTGTAAACTCGTCGTTGTGTTTTTTGGATTGATCTTTGTTTCGGTTTATGAGCTTTGCACACTTTATAAGAAACCGATCCATGGATCAAAACCTATTTAATTCTTATAGTCATCAAGTATTAATTACAATAAACATCCCGTAAAAGTTTCTAGAATTTGGGGCTTTTGTTATCGTTATTTTATTTTTTTCCTCTCTCTATATATATAGAGGAGTCATTTACCTTTTGGAATCTTAATGTAAGGCTTGGATGCTCATGTTTCCATAAACCTCGGGCCGAGCTTTTGATTTTACTCGGAATTTGGGGCTTTCGTGGTGATCTGTGAGATCAAGATTAATGGTTTTCTCTTAACTTCACCACTCGCGGAATATTCCCAAGCAAAATTCATCAAACAATTTCCATCATCACCAAATTTGCTTTTGCAATCGTAAATGATGTCCATCCATAGAAATCATCTTTTGAAGATGTAAAGTAATCCGGTTGTTCAAGTCGACTTCCATATTTGATATAGTTGGTTTTAATGCTCCTAGAGAATGGGAAGTAATTTTGTCGATAAAATTCCTAGAGTTGGTGAGGCGAAGGTTCCGAAACGAATATTGAAATAAAACTAAAAACATTGGATTCTCAAACCTATATTTTGAGAGTGGATAAACAGGTAATTTCGGCTCAAACTGAACTATGGCTCATATCATTGTGGTGGGTACTTTTTGTAAATTTTTGTTATTATATTTTAGGTGATCACCGAGTTCAAATTACATCTCAAAGTCGGTTCATAGGGATCAATATATATATATATATATATACACACACACACACACACACACACGCACCTAAGGATAGTTCTTTTTTTGTTTTATATGTTTTTTTTTCCTTCTTTATCAAGAGCTTTAAATTGTGCTTTGAGAGAAGTATTATAATATGAATCTTAAAATAGAGTAACAAGAAGAGGAAATTAGGTGGTCTTAACAAGTACAATAACAAGTAAAGCCTCTTTGGCGACATGCTCGGAGAAGTTCTAGTCCTTATAGATGATTTATTTTGTCATTTAAACCTACCTAGTTCCATACGACTGACACAAAGGCAACGCTTTCTAGCATCCACCTTCTTTTCCCCTCTCAAGAACTTCTCTTCAACGAGAACTTAGGTAAAAACCTTGGAGTATTATCCGATTGTCCAACACTTTACCGAATATTCACGTAGAAATTACCGACGAGTAGATCTCATGAGCAACTAATCAAAAAGCAATCACAAAAGGTCCACTATTTCCCTATATCTATACATGAAACATCTATAATACAATAAAGATAATTGCTTTTATCGTTTGAATTTGTTGGTGATGATATAGCTTCGTTTGGTCTAGAATTATATATATATATGTTATGAATGTGAAATATTTTAACAATTTTTATATTATGAGATTGTTAATATAATTTGTTGAAATTTCTCCAAAACTCATTGATATAACTACTATAGTTTGTTTTTTATTTTTGTTTTTTGTATTAAACAAATGCTGTAAAATATTTTCTAGCTGTTTTTCTATTTAACTATCAAATGCTAGAAAATATTCTTTTAGAAAACAACTTATCGGAAAATAACTTTCTCAAAATTGATTTTTCAACTGAAAATTATTTTTCACAAAAACGGAGTCCATTTTTTTTATTATGAATTATATTATTCAGTTAACTTGAGTCGTGTCCTTAGCAAAGGCGGCTCCTCTAAAAGCCAAACACGTACAGCTAAGTCTAGGCTTGCCCCAATTCTTTCGACTTAGATATACCAATAAGTCATGGCGACTCGCTTCTTACCTTCTTCGCTCTTCTCTCTCTCTAAACCTCAGGTTTGTTACGCTCTCTCTGTCTCTCTCTCTCTCCATGTGTTATCTCTTTCTATCATTCAGTAATAACTATTCTGGAGATACCGTTTCAGGTCCCATTGGCAGCTCTGTCTCGTATCCTATTTGCAGGTTGCCATGGACGGTACTATATCTCTCGTAACCCATCTTTGATTCCTTGTTTTTCGTCATTCTGCTCTTATTTACTTGGATTTTGGCCTTTTTAAGAACGACCCAATTGTTTCTTTGCTGTTAATTTTTGTCCTCTTCCTTGTTCTTGTGCCTTTTTAGGATAGATGTAGTCATTAGCTTATTCGATACTTTTATCTGTTAAGCGTTTGTGTTTATGCGTGACTTGAATTGCTTTCCGTGTGTGAAAATTAATGCCAGTCTGTTTTTTTTTCGGTTTTTAATGCAAACCTTGTTAATGGGCATGGATAACGAGTGAAGTGAAAGATTTTTATTGGACAGTTTTTAGATTTTGTGAGGAATTTTGCAATGCTCTTTTGTTCCTTAGAAGCTGTACCTGCTATTGTTCTACATTGTTCACGCCCACCAACAATTGTTCATTTATCACTGATTTCAGTTCACAACAAGGTTTCCCTTAAGCACTTTTATTCCATGCCCCAAATTGGAAAGGCCACTATTCTGCTTGTTCAGCTAAAATGTGTGACATCAATTGCTTTAAGTAAGATGTTCTTTAAGATATTCTTCTTGACTGGCTAGCGAATGTGTATTCACTTGGTTGTTGAGATTGATGTGTGAATGCTCCTGCACTGATACTACTTAAAGGCAATTCTGCTTTGAAAAATTTTCCATTACATCAATGACAGTTTTGTAAGAATGTTAATTGTTTTTGTTAGGGATTATTAATGTCATAGGTATTACTAACGAATATATACATGGTGTGAATGTAATAAACTGAGGATACAAAGTATAATTTCTAAAACAAGGGAGCAAAGTATAATTGTAAATGGAGGATTTTTTATTTTTTATTTTTTATTTCATTTTTCCTTTGAATTTTAATATAATACCAAACAGAGTTTCTCCTCAATCCTTTTTTCAAATAAATTTTGTTGTATGAAGATGAAATTTTTTTACTTACATACAGTTCCAGCACTCAAGTGAACAAGATATGTGGGAGTCGTTTGGGAGTGTCATCAAATAGGAACCTGATTTACAGACTTAGAACTTTTTGCACTAGCGGAGGTGCGTGATGTCCAGTGACTAATTTACTGCATGAGTCAAATGCAAACCTATGCTAGTTTTGGTCCTTTGTTCTGTGACTTGGATTTTCTTTTCGGCTTGCTTATCTCACAAAATGAAAAGTGAAGTAAAATCATTCTGTTTCAACCAAGCCCATATAGTTCAGGGTGGCATTCAGTGGCCCAGGCTTGAATCAAAGAGGATGCAGAATTCTCAAATCTCTTGCAAGCTACCTTCAACCTTCTTTTTTTTTTTTAATATCTTTCTTCATTATCTATTTATTTCCTTTATTACATTATATATGGGTGTTTGAACTATTTGGTCTGATGAATGCCCCTTTACAGAAATTCATTTCATTCTACTCAAATCACTGATATGAGATCGACTTTGACAAAGATTAAAATGGTGAATCTTGTTAAAAAAGTCCATATAGATTGACTGAATATGTGACCTTCTGAATAACCTTGGCAAATTTTTGAGCCAGAAATGAAACAAAAAAGAGAACGAATGTATCTCGGTTGTAGGTGTATATATACCACAATCTCTCTGTCTCTTTACAAAGATGTATGTGTGTAATAACTATCAATACTTTTTTGCCATTAGTCTTATGTTCACCATTGCTTTGTCTGGATTATGCTTCCAGATTTGAATTGCTCTTTTCCCTGGTGCCTTGGTTGGGTGGAGGGAATATGGGAGTTCAGTAAATTTTCTTGTATACACTTTTAAACAAGAAATGTGTTTTAGTATTTGATTTGGCAGCACAATACATGCTATTCATAAGATCCTCATGTAGGATGCTTTAGTCAAGAGCATCTCACTTTGTCAATCTTCTAACCATATGGTTAATATTAGATTGCTTCCAAGAATTTCATTATTGGCCACCCTAAGCTGTTGATGCTAATGGCATAGTTTTATGACACAAACCACTTGCATGTTGAAAATGGGTTATTCTTGTCCTTTGAAACAGTTTGCTTGCTGTGATAGATTTGGCTGCTAAGAAGTGTGTGCCATGCAACTCAAAGGATCTGCAAGCGATGTCTGAAGAAAATGCAACTGCCTTTCTGTTGAAGGTTTGCATTTTGATTTGTGTTTTTTCTTAGTTTTTCATGCAATGTATTTTTTCAAGGTGGTATTTCTTAGGTTGCTGGGTGGAATTTGGTGAATGAAAATGGTACACTAAAGCTGAATCGTTCATGGAAAGTAAAGAGTTTTACTAAAGGGCTGGAACTGTTCCAGCTTGTTGGGAATGTTGCTGAAACAGAAGGTATGTACTTGTTGCTGGTGGCTCTCACTGTTATCTGTTATATGAAATGACAATGTTCAATTATTTACAAGAAAATTTGAGTTTTTTTAACTTAGACGAGTAACAATATATGGTTAGTGCAGGTCATCATCCGGATCTTCATCTGGTTGGATGGAACAATATAACAGTTGAGATATGGACTCATGCAGTGGGTGAGAACTTTTTGTCTATCACGTGGCTTCTTCTTTTGTTGTTATTTAGTTATTTATTTACATGCAAGAGACAAATCCAATGCATAGTTTTAAAATAACTTATTTATTTACATGCAAGAGAGAAATCTAATGCATAGTTTTAACAAAGTGTAATGGCCGTTATATAACGGGAAAGGGGAACCCTGTTACCATTTATTCGGCATTACGGGGCCCCAATGCCGTTTCACACCGATAATGGCAAATAATGGCGTTACTGTTATGTAACGCCGTTATAAAAAGAATCCAGAAATTCAGCCATTTCAGCTGCTGAAATTTAGGCAGTGATGAGAGGGCAGAGGCAAAGAGGGAGAGAAGTTTTGGGTGACATCAGAAGAGACAAGAGAGAGGAACTTGGACCCTTTTATTTTGAAAAGCAAGAGAACACGTGAATGTCAAATTCCTTCATTTGCCGGTTTTGATTGAATAAATTATAAATTAGTCCTCTTATTTTGAATCAATAATTTAGTTAGTCCTATTTCAAAAACCAATAATTTATTTATTTTCTTCATTTTATATTTTCTTCATTTATTTTTCTTTTTGTTTTAAAAAATAGAAAAGGGAAAAAATAAATTTATACCATGAAAAAAGATTGATGAAAAATATATTTTATAGAATAAAATATAATATATTAAACATGATCAATATTAATTAAAAGATTAAATAATTAGTTTTTAAAATATTAAAAGCTAATTAATTCATTTATTAAAACTAGAAGGACTAATGTATGATTTAATCTTTTATTATTTTAGTTTATTTGTCTTGCATGCACAAATTCAAAGACTGCAAAGCAAATCTTACTTTAATTAAATAAATTATAAATTAGTCTTTTTAGTTTGAATAAAAAAATAAGTGGTCTTTATTGTTTTAAAAACCTATTATTATTTTTTTTAATTTTATGTTATTTTTTAAGTCTCTTTTCTAAACTAGCTATGGTTGTAATTTTGATAGATAAGAATCACAACATCAACAACAAAATAATAACTATTATTGTGATTCACTATGACGATTATTTTAAAGATGAATATTTTGTAATGTGTTTATTGAAATTGTAATGTATTTTATTATTTTTTTGTGATATTTATTTATTAGAAGTGTTATTAAATATTTTTTATAATAAATTCAATTATTGTTGTATAATATTAAACTATTAAAGATGTTATTACTTATTAGTATCCTTAATTAGTAAAATTGTTAAAAATATATGAATAAGAATAAACCTATTAACAATTGCTAATGTATTCACGATATCGGTTGCTGCGATCTGTTATTTTACTACCGCGATAAGCCGTGATCCATGATCATGATCGCGATCGTTTTTTCAACCGCGATTGCTATTTAAAACTATGATCCAAGTGCCTTCTACTCTCTCATCACTTAAGCTATGTTCTAAGAACTCCTTCCTTTCTCTGTTTGTTTTGAATGAAATATTCTATATGTACATCTTCTATCCTTCTGCTTTGCAGGCTTAGTAACATCATATGCCATGAAATTAAATCGGATGGTTGAAGCATAAATATGAGTATGACTATGAATATGTTACTTTCCCAGATTTCTACCTTCTCAATTTCTGTCAACTAACGATGTTATGTGAATTGGGTGAGAGGTATTATGCTTATTAAGTGAAGTGCTTGTACAACTGGGGGATGGCCATTCAGCAAGTTTCTAGTAGTTGAGCTATATTTTTTGCTTTTCATTTCATCTTGAAAGTATGTGCCTGAACAAATCTGAAAAAGGTTATGCAGAATAGCTACTCATTTATTAAAATGGTTTCCCGTTTGTGTCATATTTCTGATTGAAATGCACCCAGAGATGCATCTGAATTTCCCCCCAAGCAGGAAAACCACACTTGACTCAGAACTTCTGATGGTAGAATCAAGTAAAGTTCAATAAAGAATACTCTGTGGGAGATGTCAGAAGTTTTGCCAAAGTTGATCCCACATCTGCCTTCTTTCTTATTATTATTATTATTTATTTGTAGCCAAAATAAAGTTCTTATCATGATCTATGCTTTCACAGGTGGACTAACGGAAAATGACTTCATACTTGCTGCTAAGATAAATGGGCTTAACCTGCACCACCTACTGAGAAAGAAGGCTGCTGCTTGAGTTGTAAATACAACTGAGACTTCCAGTTTTTAGGTTAATAGTCTTATCTTTTTTGGTTTTTTGGTTTTCTGTTAAGAGGTTTTGAGTTTTGAATTTAGTGCTGCATAACTAGGTGACATAGAGGTTTGGCAAACATATGCCGTGGTAGGTGTATACACTGATGTTAAAGATAAAGATCACTGAGAGTTGTAAAGGAGGCTTGCAACTTCTGAGTTTGCTAGTAGGATCCATGATGCTTTTGGTTTGCAGGTATCTCTTTAAGCATCCACCATTTTTTAATGGGATCGTCTCTTTTATTGTTTGCAGCCTCTCTCACCCACCACCACTACTACCAGAAAGCACATCCCAAATCCAACTCCATGTTGAGATGATTATATGGTTCTCTTGCTTTTTCCATTTTACTTACATTGTGGACGGTGGACTGGACTGTTTTGGCTATGTGTAGATTCTTGTTCGACTCAGTTCTTTCTTCTTTTAAGATCTGTCCTTATCTCATGGAAGTTGAGACATGCCTGAATTTAGTGGATGTTACAAGGTCATCTCTCCCCCTTTTATCATGCTCAAACCGGCACTAACATGGATAACGAACCAGCCAACAAAATGTCGTGAAGATTGTTAGAATGGAAAATAGGCAGTAGAAGGTGAGGAAGGTTATCAGCTAAATGGGGTTAAGGTGTTTGGTTTTTGAACTCATTGCATGATATTCAGCTGACATGTTTAGAAATAAATCGAGTGAAGAAATCACCTAACCCCTCTTTTCTCCTCTGCCAATCAAATGAAGAGCTTAGAATCCCTTCACGCTAAATGAGCTTGGCATCCATTGAGTGCTAGTGGTCGAACCTGACTTTTGGCCGGTTTTTGAAGCTGAGCTTGTTAAGCTTTTCAATAAAATGGATTGGTTAAGCAATTAATAATGAATAATGATTTGAAGATGATTTTCGCTGTATGTAGCACTCATCGTTCATTGATTGGGAACGAGAAATGGGAATTGGTCTGTCTTCCTTCGCTATTAGTCCAAAAGCAGACTGACAAAATTGGGTACTATTGTTAAATAGGATTAATAGTTAGGCTTCCGTCCAATTATTAGTAAAATGTAAAAAAAAAAAAGAAAAAAAAAGTGAAATTAGATCTTTTTGTTAAGTGGGTTACGGATGCTGTGTATTAAACACTTTTTGCTTGATCCAAATTAGATGAAAAGAAAGGTATTTTCATTAATTAATAAAAAATCAATTTTTACTCTCAATTTTGCCTATGACCTGTTTGGACTGAATCTGTTTGGGATTTGACCTGTATCTTGCAACACAATCCGCGGAATAAGAATCCAGCATTCTAATTTCCATTTCGGAAAGAAGAATGCAAGATTGTAGGATCCAAAAGCCAAAGATTCTCTTAGAGACAACTGGCGGAGGAAGTGAAAACAAACCAATAATTTTTGCAATATTAGGAGTTTTTATATTAGATAATAAATTATGGCTTATTGTACAGTAAAAGCATGAACTATAAAGATTTTACTCATTCTGATGTGTTTTTTTTCAAAAGTGAATGGAAAATATATAAATTTAGCTTCTAGTAATTATTTTAAAATGAGAGGTATTTTTCATCTAATATTTGGATTTCGTATGACGTAGCATGACATGTAGGATGTCACTATAGATAACGATCCATATAGGATGATATGTCGACAAAAATTAAAATTTCAGATTGAACGGACAACATGTCATCAACTTATGAAACCAATCCAAAAACTAAAAAGCCTAATTCAATTCATAAAAAGCCAAATTCCTAATCTTTTTCTCTCCTTTGCCCAATCGCCGAACAAGTCTAAATTTATAATATTCTTCTTTACTTCACCCAACGAACAAGAATCCATATCTTTTTCTCTTCTCTCGTTTGACGAATTTTTAACCTCAATCTTCTTTTCGTATTTGCTTGATGAACAAGAACCCCAATCTTCTTTTATTTTTTGCTCAAAAAATCTTCAACCCTAATCTTCTTCTCTTCTTTGCCCCACGAATCGTTAACCAGTACATTTTCTCTTCACAAAATTTCAAAACCAAAACCTACACTTGTATTTTGAACAACTTCTAGCAAACTTATGAATATGGCATATATAGATAATAGTTTCAACATGGATGAAGCATTGAAAATATGTTCTCCAGTTTCAAAATGTCTTTATGCAAGCATAAGACACGGACAAGCGTATATATTTCACAAGCCGAAACAAATCCAGGAAAGAAGTTTGTTTACGACCTATATTGGAAAGTATTTATTATTCTTAGTTACTAAAATTACTAAAATTTCTCCCTTGTTGCAAAGATGTATGCCACATATTTGATATTTTGTTTCCATGAAATATTTCAACTTTTAGGTTGATAATTGTGGGTTTCGAAAGTGGATCGAAGATGATCACATTGTGTGTAGAGTTGGAAAGTCGGTTGTAATTGAGATTAAAGAGTTAAAGAAAAGAATGGAGTTAGTTAAGATGTTAGAAAGAGAAAATTTAAGTTTGATAGGAATTAAAGCAAAGCAAAAAAAAAAAAAAATCATTTGATTGAAGAACTCGATAAAATGAGATCCGAAAGTATTGAAATGAAAAATTCAAATGCAAAGATTGAGGATTGATATGAAGGAGTTGGGAGGGAAAATCAAAGTTATGACCAAGTGGTACTTTTTTGATAACATTAATAGGTTTTGTGTTATCGGGATATTTGTTACCTTCATATGATCGAAGGGTATGTTAGCACTCGTCTTTCTAAATTATGCAATATCTTATGTTATGTATTAAATTATGCTATTGCAAAGTGGTACTAGTTGATATAGACCTAAATATTTTTGTTAGATTAATTTATAGATATACGTGCTAATTACACCTTAATCTATTTATTGGACAAACATTACTTGCGGATACTAATTGATGCAAACTTGAAATATCTATGACTTTATATAATGGAAGAAATGTGAAATATTTTGCTGGACCAATCTCTATAGACACTATTGTTTCGGAAAGGCATGTAATGATATATTTGTTAAAGAAGATTAATTGAAAATTAAGTTCAAGGATCAATGCAAAAAGACAACACATTAGCTTTTGAAATATAGTTAACTAGCTCTTTAGTGGCACAAGGTAGAAAAATGTGCTTAAAATAATCACATACAACAACTCCAACTTGCATAAATTCAAAAAACAAAACAAAAACTATAAACCATAATAATAAATAGAGAGCAACACATAAAATTTGATTATAATATGCTTCGGATAAAAAAAAAAAACATTGCACAAATTCAAAACCTATCAATTTCCTAGCTAGCTCCAACTTTTCAAGATATAAATCCAACAATAAATGGACCATAATACGGTCGGTCGTAATACAACAAAACACAATAGTAGTTCGACTTTATAAAGAAAACACCACCCGAACTTACTATACATTACATATCACAAAATAGACATGTCATAGTCCATAGTCATAATATTCCAAAAATGAACCATATAACAAGCTATCAAATACAATGGGTGGGCCAAAAAAAAAATCATTTAATTGAGTAGTTCAAAATATTCTTACGTGATTTTGGAGCCTTCATGGTTAAACTTGGACTTCTTTATAGTTGAAAATGTGTTGTTAACACTTTGCTTTGTAATTAGCGTAGCGATTGGTGGATGAATTTATTTTCCTTTAGGAATTATTTCAAATCTACCTCAAACAGTCAGTTGCAACATCAATAGTAAGAGGAGGAAAATTGAAACTATGTTGTTATGATACAAATTTGTTGAAAAAAAAAAATAGACAACACTTGTCATTGAATATATGTTACTAGTTTTGTCATTTATGTACATTTCAACTTTTTTGAATGTTCTTTTCTCTCATATTCTTTAAATTTTTACGAGTTGTATCTTGCCTTTGCACTTGTGCTTTATTAGCTACGATGGAGATTACGGATCTCGAAAAGGAGGAAAGTCTAGATGGGATTATAGATCCGGAATTTTAAGGAGGTCTAGAAGGGATAATAGATCTAGATGTTGATGCGTGTCTAGAATTGAAAGTGGATGAAATTATAGCAGTTTGCTTTAAAGCTTTTTCTCTTTTAGCCCATAACAATAGGTAATGATTTTTAAATATATATTGTGGGGAATTAAACTAAAAAAAAATTTATTAATATTAAAGTTAGACTATACTTACAGGTAATTTTGCTTCTTTGGAAACAAGACTATTTGTTGAACTCTTTAGAGATCTTTCTTTTTTACTCTAAACATACCGCATGATGTATAATAAATCGGATAAACCAACGAGTATAATGCTAGTATATTAAGTTTGTTTATTTATATGATTTTTAATAGAGTTTGCATTCTCTTAACCTTTCATTGTGCATTTTCTCTTGTTTTGGCCATAACCATAATAGTTTTGACATTACATTTGAACTCCTAACTTAAATGTTTTGCTTGGATTTCTTTTTTCTTCACCTTGAGCTTTTCTCTTTTCTGTTTTTTTTTTTTTTTTGGCCTTTCATTTCTAAAATCATGTATCACATTTATTTACTTGTCAAAAGTAAAAGAAAAAAATGAAAAAAAGACAACAAGATAACTTTGCTAAATAAACCGACCTTTTTAGCATTTTCTTATAAGGAAGGGGTTGTATGTCACGACCTTCATTCATAGGTCATATTTTGAAGCCAATAAAAGGTTCAAGACTATTCGAATATGTTTTCATATGTCTCGACTTTTTGAAACAAAGATCAATATAATTTGTAGGGTTACCCTTTATGAAGGCAATACTTGCTACTACACGGAATACCTTTGACATCCCATTTTCTACAACTACATTTAAGCTCCTTCAAATTCATTACATACATGTCATCACCAAATCTTGCTTAAAATTTATCACCAATTACAGCTTACTATCTTAGATGCACACACTTTCGGTTTAATTTTTTTCAACTTTCTTCTTATTCTTGGCGGATTTCATTATTGATCGACTCAAACATCTTACCCTTAATATACCATC